AAAATTTGGCATGTGTAAAGGTGCTCCAAGGTGAGTATCATTTACTTAGATAATAAGTCTCATGAGTGTGTAGTTGAACGACTTCGGTCTGAGGTTAAAGAGGTCCCGAGGAGCTTCGTTGGGCGGCGTCTGATCTCGGATCCTTTAGCTGTTGCTTACCGGAATGAGTCACTGTTATTTTTTCACCTGCTTCCTTTCACGGTGTTGTGGAATCGAAGGCAGTGCAGTTAGAAAAATGCTCACTGTAAAATAGCAGATACCCTTTGATTTCCAAAAGAAGAACGCCTCTCCGGCGGTGGCGATTGCATAATTACAGAAGCACGAAGTCCGGTTTACTCACTCAGATTTGGCATGACGTGCTCCAGGAGAGACTAAGACAGCATGAGTCCTTGGGGTGAACGCCTCTCTTCCCATGTGGGATGCGTTTATTAGACATGTGGATGGTGATGAGAAGAGAGAGAGAGAGAGAGAGAGAGAGAGAGGGAGAGAGAGGGAGAAGGAGAGAGAGCGCGAGCCGCAATGGTCAGAACTGAGCCCATTCGACACCAGGAGCCAGGAGCTTCTTTCGGGTCTCCCCCGCAGGTGCAGGATCCCAAGGCTTTGGCCCATCCTCTGCTGTTTTCCCAGGTCAAAAGCAGGGAGCTGGATGGGAAGTATGGCAGACAGGGTATGAACCGGCACCCATATGGAATGCTGGTGCACATAAGGCAAGGACTTTTGCCTCTAGGCTACTGCACTGGGCCCAGCAGGATCAATTTTAAGTTGATAACTTTTCTAAGTTCTATTTTTATTTTGAATTTTTGAATTTTGTGGTACAATTTCGTATAGACTAGGATCCTCCCCCATACTCCCCTCCTGACAGATTTTCCCCATGTTGCTACAGCAGTATAGTCCTTCATGAGGAACCATAATTCCATCAGTCTGACATAGTCTGTACCAGCAATGTCGAGGCACACTTAAATAAGTTGATAACTTTGTATGCCTTACAAATGATGTTGTGAGTATTGAGATGGTCCTTGGCAGAAAAAAAAAGTTCCTCGCTTCTGTCAGTGAGTATTCTAGAATGCTTTCTGTCTTCTCTCTGCTCACATTGCAAATTGTGTTTCCGAGACAAATTCTGCCATTTAGAAGACTTAGCTAGACGTGTGTATGCTCCACTACGTTACCCTCTGATTGCAGGCAGGGCTGTACTGCTTCCTGTCCTGAGCAACTAAATAACCCTCAGTTCTTCCTTTGATGTTATTCTGAGTTAAAATAATGTTTACCGAGCTTCACAAGCAGTGTTTTTAAAGAAAAATATAATATGTTTAGGGGATTTTTTTGTTTTTTTTTTGTTCTTAGGATGACAGAATATCTGAGTCTACGTGTTTGGAATCATAGTGTCTTTGGCAATTGTTTTGCAAATTAATGCTTGGTAGGCAGAGGAGAGTCTCAAAGGTTGCTTGGTGCGGGGCTGAGCAGTGGGTTTATTGATATGTGTGTGTGTGTGTGTGCGCGTGCGTGTGCGTGCATTTAACGATTCTCAGGACAATACCCTGGAACTGACATGTGTCTTAGATTACATTTCACAATGGAACGTAAATAAAGCCACTTGATAACTCTACTCAGAATGGTGGGGGCAAAAAAGGTTTCACTGAGACATTATCTTGCAAAGTAATGTGAAAAATTATAAACTTTCAAAATTGATAATTTTTTTTAATAGTTTAGAGTAACACATTACTTTGTGATCCAGAGGTCTAAATATGTGCTTCCTCATATTGCAGAGAGAGCATGCTTTCAAACTGATTCGGTAAGACCTGATTTTGCAGTATGAACTTCGGAGAAGTTAATTGAAGACATTGTCAAACTTTTTTGGAAATGACTTATTGAATCTTGTAGTATAAGGCCTGGTGCTGTGGCACCGTGGGATAACACTCCATATCTGGTGCCAGCATCGTATACGGTCGCTGGTTTGTGTTCTGGCTGCTTCACTTCCCATCCAGCTCCCCTTGTGTCCTGGGAAGGCAGTGCAGGCTGATCCGGGGCCTTGGTTGACGTTGGATCAGCTCAGCTCCAACTACTATGACCTTCTAAGGAGTGAATCCGGTTGATAGAACCAACTCTATCTCATTCTCTCTATAACTCTTCCAAATGGAAATAAAACAAATCTTCTCTAAAAAAAGTACCAGATCTGCCTCTTCCCCTCTGGCCACCACGCTGGGATCCTGAGGGGGCATCCTCTGGTGAGCTACTTGATACTTAGAAAGGAGTGCCAGACTTTGCACAATTGAAATCAGACAAATATTGAAAAACATTTTTTAATTCAGGATAGATTTCAAAACTTGCAACTTACAGTCTTAAGTGATATGGTTCATAACACTTCTGTGCTAAATTTTAAAAATACACATTTTAAAGAATTGTTTATTTGAAAGGCAGAGTGATGGAAGGAGGGAATGAGAGAAAGGATGTTTTATCTGCTGGTTTACACCTTAAGTGGCTGCGGCGGGGCTGGTCCAGGGTAAAGGCAGGCCTCTGCCTGTGCGTAGCCGTGGCCATCCTCTTCTGCCTTCCCCAGCGCATGAGCAGGAAGCGCAGCAGGGGATGCAGAGCAGCTGTGTCTGGCACCAGTGCTCCAAGGCCTCTGCCCAGGTCACCGGATGGCAACACTGCTCCTAGGATTTTACCTCCTGAAAGCTGTCGGTGGCATTCCTCTTAAGGTGTTGATTTCTGATTTTGTTTGTAATTTCTAGCAGTTAGGAGCTGAGCCTGGCTTGCAGCAGGTAGGGCAGCATCCTTGCTTCCAGGGCAGGTCCTGGTTATCAGGTGCACGCCTGAGATGAGGGAAGCTAGAGTCGGTCACCGCCTGCACACTGCTGACATGAGCCTCTGCTTTATGAATGCTTGCCTTTTATGTTTCTCCCTGCAGCAGGTGGAGTTTTTGAGAACAGGCGTCAGATTCCAAAATTTTTGTGTCTTTCATGCTTAGCATATTGTGTTTTTTTTTTTTTTTTTTAAAGCACACAGATGGTTACTTTTAGAAGTGAGCTGCCTTGAACTTGCTTTCTAGCGTGTTCGGGCAGTCAGTGGTCGGAACTGGCTAGTATCGAACCGTTTTCCTTCGTGAGCACCGTCTGAGTCTCTCTTGGTCTAGGAATGATTAGGTTCGATAAGTCACCTTATGGAACGACAAATATACTTTTCCCGTTCGTTGAGTTTTCATGAATCTTTGGCCATAGAGAGCGAGCTGACTGAAAGTGGAGCACTGCTACTCCAAGCAGTGCCCATACAGGATGCCGAGTCGTAGTCAGCTCAACCTGTTGCACCATAGTGCTCACCCCAACCTTGTGGTTCTCATGGTCAGGGTCCCTGTCAGTCCAGCTCTACCACTCCTTCTGCTTAGTGAATGAATTTTAGTAAAATTAGGACAAGGACTTTTTAAAGAAATATTTATTAATTTTTTGGAAAGGTAGATTATAAACAGGAGAGACAAAGATCTTCCATATGAGAATTCACTGGAGCTAGGCTGAAGCCGGGAGCCAGAAACTTCTTCCAGGTCTTCCATGTAGGTGCATGTGCACAAGGCTTTGGGGCCGTCCTCTTCTGACTTCCCAGGGCACAAGCAGGGAGCTGGATGGGAAGTAGAGCAGCTGGGACATGGACCAGCACCCCTATGGGGTCTTGGCATTTGCAGAGAGAGGATTTGCCACTTGAACCATTTCCATGGCTCCAGCAAGGACATTGTAAACAAACGGACTAGGAGCCCATTGGAGACTAGAACCTGATAACACATGTCATTTACATCCAAGGCTCTGTAGAGGGATTTGGATTCAGTGCCTTTTTTATAATTGTGACTGTTGGGGACTTTGTGCTATTCCCACCCATGTGGGAGTCTTGGAGGAAATTCCTGGCTCCTGGCTTCAGATCGGCGTAGCACCAGCCGTTCCAGCCACTTGGGGAGTGAATCATCAGATGGAAGATCTTCCTTTCTCTCTCCTCCTCCTCTCTGTATATCTGACTTTCCAATAAAAATAAATAAATCTTAAAAAGAAACTAGCAAGAAAAAATAAATCCATGAGATATAGTTTCCACTGATCTTTGTTGGTGGAATGTGCTTCCTGTAGGCAACAAATGGATGGGTTTTGTTTAATCCAGTCTACTAATCTATGACATTTGATTCAAGAGGTTAAGCTGTTACATGCAGGGTTAATATGAATGGATGGTAATTTGGTCCTGTCATTTTAGCAGTGGGTTGCTCGTTGATTTAAGCAATGAGCTGTTCATTGATTTAGTCTTCTGTTATTTTACTGGGATGTTCTTCGCATTTGCCTTTGGTTTTGGTGGGCACTATTCCTTTTCTCTGTCAAGAGAACATTTTTGAGTATGATTTGTAGGGCAGGTTTGGAAGGGGCATATTCTTTTAACTTTACTGTGGAAAAATTTTATTTCGAAGACAAAGTAAAGTTTTGCTGGGCATGTTATCCTGTGCTGACAATTTTTGCTTTGAGAATCTGGAGTATGTTCTCTATTCTCTTCTTGCCTGTAGAGTTTCCTGTGAGAGATCTCCTGTGAGTTTAGTTGGCATTTCTTTCCCTTCTGATTTCAATGTATATATTTTTACTGCTTGGATGTTTTATGTCAGTCATTTCCCGGGCCTGGGTCCCGTCTTGGTAGGTGTCCAGGTGGATGTCTGTGAGTAAAGGCTTTTGGGTGCTAACCATGGAGTACTTTCGGAAACATTATCTGGCATTGCTTGGGGATTTCCCGTTTCTGTTCTAGCTGAGTGGTGGGACTCGCTTATAGCCCTATGTAAGTGTCACGTTCTTAACAAAACTCTAGTTTCCTTCCTTGTGAATGATTAAATTTGTCTGTATATTGCAGTTAAAAGTGATTTGGATGTACCTCGTAAACCTGTGATAAAATAGGGGGGTAAAAAGCCTTTACTGCTTTCGAAACTCCATGGCTTACTTTTTGACCTTTTTGCGTGGTTCATCTGCTTGATCCGCATCTCTCTCGGTCACTAGGTTGCCCCCAACGACGAGGCTGTGGTGACGCTGCTGTGTGAGTGGGCTGTGAGCTGCAAGCGCTCAGGCAAACACAGGGCCATGGCAGTGGCCAAACTCCTGGAGAAGAGGCAAGCCGAAATTGAGGCCGAGGTGGGTTCAGTGTGGCCGCTGCTTGTCCAGTGCATGCCGTGATTTCAAAGTGCTGCTGACAGGGCAAGGATACCTGCCACTTACTCTTCCTGTGGTCCTTTTGTCTTGGGGAGAAAATGGAGGCTGTATAATAAATCCACATAAGGCGGACAGCATCTTTGGGCATCTTGAGATAGATAACCACAAAGAATCTGTGTTCTGAACCAGATGAAAATGTGTCTTTTTAAAAGAAAAATTGGGGCCCAGCGCGATCGCGCAGTGGTTAAAGTCCTCGCCTTGCATGCTGGGATCCCATATGGGCGCCAGTTCTATCCTGGCAGCCCCGCTTCCCATCCAGCTCCCTGCCTGTGGCCCGGGAAAGCAGTCCAGGATGGCCCAAAGCTTTGGGACCCTGCACCCGCGTGGGAGACCCGGAAGAGGCTCCTGGCTTCGGACCGGCATAGCATCGGCCGTTGCGCTCACTTGTGGAGTGAATCATCGGATGGAAGATCTTCCTGTCTATCTCTCCTCTCTGTATATCCGCCTTTCCAATAAAAAAAAAATAATAATAATAAATCTTAAAAAAAAAATTGAACATTTGATGTAGAACCAAGAAACCTTATGAGGCTGAGTACACAAAGCACAAATACAGACACAGAAAGGTACACAATCTAGACCAACTATTAGGAGAATTAGTGAGTTTTGAAGTATTTTCAGTGGCAGTTAAGATTATGAGATTATTCATTCCAGTGTGTCGTCTTGGAGGTTACACTTTGGCTCCCGAGAGTTACTGAAATAGCAAAGGAAATCGGGGAGCAAAAAAAAAAAAAAACCCCAAAAAACAAAAACCAGAGCTGTTTCGTCAACGTTGGCTTTTACTGATGGGGAGAGTCTTTCTTGCCAAATGGTAGAGGGACAGCTGCAGAGAGCACCCGAGCTCTCCCCAGGCCCCCGTTTCCCTCCCCTGCATGAGCTCGGAGCTTCTCTGCCTCTGCCCTTTGCTTCCTGTCCTCCACCATGCACTGTTCAGCAGCCCCAGTGACCTGTCCCAGTGCACACAGCTCCCCTGGTCCCTTGTTGGGGCTCCTTTCCTGACCTACACAGGCCCACTTGGCCTGGCTCTGCTGACCTGCCCCTGCCCCACCCCGACCTCATCTTGCTTTTTGTGCCCCTATGTTATAAGTCCAACCATCTTGTCCCTTTAGCGACGCGAGGCCCTCTTTGATTCCACGCCCTGTTCGTCCTGTTCCTTCTGGCAGATCACTCTGCTGGCTCTTCTTTGACAGCTGTTTTGAGGTCTTTCCCAGTCAGGAGTGGCATTGCCCGTCCAGCTCCCGTGGTTAGCGTAGGTCGCCTCTGGAAGACCTTTCTTCACCACGTGATTGGAAGTGAAGGCACCCTGCCACCACCCAAGCACTATTTCTCACATGGCTGTTATACTTTCTTCAGAGTGATACATGCTAGTATTTCTTATTATTTGATGCCTCCCATCTCTTCACAATGTAAGCTTGAGAGCTGGACCTAGCCCATCCTGTACCCAGCACCCCAAGCAGCTCTTGGTCCTTAGGAGATGCTGGGAAGCTGTGAGCCACAGGAGTTGATCAACATGTGGCTGAGCATCTCTTGGCTTCCTGTGAAGCTGTTAGACAAAGTGGAGAGACATGCTTCTCCTTTTGTTCAGAAGGAAAAAAGAAATGAAAGGTCATTCTGAGGGAACTGGGGTTTAAAGAGCTGGTGTTTAAGTAGAAACAGTGGCTTTCTGCTGAACGTGCAAATGAGGAAAAGCCTTCCATTGCTCCTTTCTGCACCGTGTGGAGAGACAGGCTGTCCTTTGGTGATGTGCAGTGAGTAGCCTGCAGGGACTAAAGTTGAGTTTTCCAAACATTTCACATTGTTCATTTTCTGTTTTGTCCTTCCTGTATTCTGGAAAACATGTAAATATATGTAAACACACAGACATACAGAGCCCTTTCGAAAAAAGTTCACATGCAGATAGCTTGGCGATTTTAACAGACCTACAAGTATACTTGTCTAAAAATGTTTTCTTTCAGAGGTATTTAAGGCCATTTATTTCCATTAAGCGTTACCATTGGCAAAACTTCCTTTGCCAATAGTGTGTGGCTTGATGAAATAGTACTCTAAGATGCTAACCTTAATAATAATAATAGTGAAAGTGGGCAAAAGGAAAGAATACAGCAGAGGATACAAAGTGAGAGCTGAGAGCTCTTAAGCTGTTCCTTTGATTTTCTGGTGAGTTCTATCCTTAAGAATGTGGAAGTGAACAGGCTCTGTGGACAAACAGAATGTGTCTACGGGGAGAACTGTGGAGATTCTGCAGGTTCCAGGGGATCTTAGAGGTGAAGGATGGCAGAGGGAGGAAAGAATGTTCTTAGAGGATTGCATTAGCTTTCTCATTTGATGCCATACTTATTCCAGCACACACACATAACAACCTCCTAACAAAAGCACAGAGACCAGCAAGAATAAGATACTTCCTAGGTTACATACAGTCCAACATGAGTTATTTAAATATTGAGATAACTTCACTTTTTGGGCAGTTTTGCATAGGGACTGTAAGTGGTTTATTGCGTAATGTTTGTATATTTGATGTTGTGTTTGTGTTTCACATGGATAATGTTTTTAGGGATGTTCCTTGATACCATTTGAAGTGTTCTGTAATTTTCTTTATTACCTATTTACATTTACTTTTGTAAATTACAAAGAAGTGTAAAAACCTCAGCTTCACCTGTTTTAGTTGAGAAGTTAAATGCGAATAAAAAGCTAGCAAAATCAAGTTGCATAGCGACTATTTCTCCTGTGTAATTAACTTTGCTTTATTATTTCATCCTTAGAGATGTGGAGACTCTGAAGTCCTAGATGAAAAGGAATCCATTTCTTCAGCCTCTCTTGCTGGTTCTAGTTTGCCTGTTTTCCAGAATGTTCTCCTTAGGTTTTTGGATACACAGGCACCCTCGTTGTGTAAGTAAAGAAAGCTCTTTGCTTCTGCATCTTAAATAAGTGTTTATGAACCAAAAAAATTTTTTTTTGTCTGTATGTCGCCTAAGGTTCTTGTCACTGGCTATGATATGTGTTTTACTGAGCAAGATTTTTATTGGAGTATAATTTTTATTGGAGGCATTCAGGCTATTTTAGAATGTGTTGATGTTCAAAGATTCTAAAATTTCCAGATTTCAATAGTTTGAAAAGTAAGTCTTTTTACTCCTTTTCTTTTGGTATATTCGTCTCTCCTCTTAAAATCTTTTTGTGCCAAAATACAGTAGCTAAGATCTTCTGACCTTTATTTGTAAATTGTAACGTTCTCTTTCTGTGTGGTGGTCTAAATTTCCAATTTTCTGTGAAATAATTTCTGTAAGATGATTTCTAGTCACTGGTGTGAACTATGTAGGTTCGATTTTCTTTTTTCCTGTGAAAATGAAAAAAAAATTAATTTTAACTTTTATTTGGATTGGAGATAGAGACAGACAAGTTTGGGGTGAGGCCGGAACTAGGGACCAAGAGCTTAGCTGAGATTTCCCATGTGAGTGGCAAGGACCTTGTACTTGAACCATTACCTGCTGCCTCCCAGGACGTGTTTGTAGGGAGCTGGAGTCATAAACTTGGCTAGACTTGAAGCAGACACTCTGATATGGGGTGCAGGCATCGTAACCACTGCTCTAAATGCTTACCCCTATGTCTTCCACACGGTGAAATGCAGCCGAGAGGATCTTAGATGCAGATAGAATCACAGCAGTGTGATGAAAGATAAAAAGTGATGGGGGAGACCTTTGCAGAGAGCAGAGTTAAATGATCCACGACCTTACTGCCGGAGTCATTTGAGGAGGTCTGTGGGTGAGGGTGGGGGAAGGACAGGGTGTTTGATGTAGTTAGTTTTCTAGGCTGGCGATTACTTGGATGAGGGAGTGGGGAGTGCCGAGGAGACCCCAGTTGCTGAATGTATGGGTACAGAAGGGAGCAGTTCCCTCTGATGCTCTCCCCTGGGGAGATGCACATTTGCCTTCCCAGCCCCAGGACTCTCCGTTCTTCCAGGAAGACCTGCTCCTCCTATGCTGTCCCGATGGGGTGTTTCGTGCGCCGACTATGGCAGCAGAGTGCACCCTTCCTCCGGGTAGGGGCTGGGTCGCAGGGGGAGGTACAGGGAGCGAGAAGAAACTTGGAGCCTCCTGCTCACTGGATGGAGCTGTTGTCTCCATTTGGTTCTTGGGACTAGTACCAGAGATTGAACCTGACAGGCAAAGTACGAGAAATGCGTAAACTTATCCAACAGTACGTACAGAAAGTTTCCGAGTGCAGGTTCAGTGCAGCAGGTCACACAGTAAGTGACATGGGAGACAGGACTGCAACACTCCATCCTTTTAAAATTATTGGTTACATTGTATTATGAGATACAGTTCCATAGGTACTGGGATTCCCCCGTCCCTCCCCCCATGGTGGACTCCTCCACCCTGTTGTGAGACCTCAGTTCAAGATCAGTTGAGACACCTTCACCGCAAGCATATACCAAGCATAGAGTCCAGCCTCTTATTATCCAGATAAGTTCATCCGCTTCTTGGGGAGACCTTCCCTGGTCTGAAGGTATGGCTGAGTTAGAGGTGGCTTAGCCGGAGCCCCCCAGCCTCTGCATGGCGCTAAGGGACCAAACCCCCGGCCATCCTTGTGTTCTTTTTAATCCTATCTTCCCTGGATTTTCTCCATTTCATTGGCCAATCAAGTTGCAGTTTTGCTGTGAGGTTTCATTCGGAAAAAAGGGACACATCTATCCCAAAACACACAAATGTGCTTCAGGCATTAAAACAGCCACCAAATCTCTTACTAATAAAACTGGAAGACAGTAGTATCCCCATTTTCCTCTCCTTAACCTGAATTTTTCTTAGCTTACCACTTAATTGATCATTCGCCTTTCAATGAGCACTTTCCGGGAACTTGTTCTGTGTGTGAGTCGGACAATCCAAAGCCGCCACTCAGCTCTGCCCCAAGTGCTATTGCCTCAGTCAGTCTCCCAGGAAACTTGGAAAATGCCGTTGCCGTGCAGCCTCACTCAGCAGCTGCCTTCCCCATGGCACGGGGACGCCTGACCGAGCTTGTATCTCCACAGCCGATCCCAACAGTGAATGTGAAAAGGTGGAGTTTGTGAACCTGGTGCTGCTCTTCTGTGAGTTCATCCGCCACGACGTCTTCTCCCACGACGCGTATATGTGCACACTCATCTCGCGGGGAGACCTGTCCGTCAGCGCCTCCACCCGGCCACGGTCACCCGCGGGGGAAAATGTGGATGAACACTACACGAAGGACCATGATGTGAAAATGGAGGTAAGGCGCTTGGCGGGAGCGGTCTCACCTCCTCGCCCCAAAGCCCTGCTGGACAATCACTTCTCGGTTGATGATTTGGTGGTGGGCGGGAGATCCTGGCTGCAGAGCCAGTTGTATGGTTGCTTCTCGCAGAGAAAGCACACGTGCATTATAATTTATGATGTCTAGAATTTCCCATTGGCAACTATATGACTAGGACTGTGAAAGGATTTAATAGCCCGTGCAATTCCTCAGGGTTTGGGACTGCACCAGAATTCCTCATAAGGTTCATAGAAAGCGTATGGAAAGATGAGTTCATTTTGAGGCAAGATTTTTGAGGTCCACGTACAGTATTTTCATAACTTGAATTTTCCTTCAACTTCTTAAAGAATCCCTCATATGCTTCTAGTTTTGGTTTTTCTACCTTCCAGTTTTCCTTTAATATTGCATCGAAGGATGGCGTCTTTTGAGCCTATATTTCCAGCTAAGCGTGTATGCTCAGGAATTTTTCCCCTAGGGTGTCACCTGTCAGCTACCCTTTGGCATATGGCCCGTGTCAGGAAATACCCTCTTTCGTTTCAACTGATTCACCATTTAGTCTGTTTCTTAAACTGTGGCGGAGTTGTTCTCTTCACCAAAGCATTTTGTGCTGTGTGATTGCATCATTTCCTGCCAGATCCTGATTCCGTGGATTTTTTTTGTTAGGTGCTCAGTGAAATTCTCAAGTTAAAATAGCTGCAAGTAGTAACTAAAATATCAGACAATGGGGAGGGTTTGTGACAGTAAGAACACATACTGTTGAGATACTTTTTAATACCTGGCTGCACCTGTAATTTGAAAAAAGCCAGCATTTCAGAATTGTGAACTTAGATTCATCCTTTTTAGTCTGAAGATTTTTTATTTTCCAATTAGAGTATGCTTTTAAAAATATGTTACATATGAATACTTTTGCTTCTTAGTTTGTCCTCCACAGACACTAATAAACTCTTAATCCCTTCTGCATGCTTACATGCTCCTCAAACTTTTCCTTTTCTACTTAATATCAAAACATCCTTCCCCTTCCCGTCCCCCCACCCCCCAGGATATCATATACATTAAGCGTAAGTTTAGATTTTAGATGTTTTTTCCTGCTAAGACAGGCTGTTGAGCATCATGCGAGCCAACGGAGATGGTGGTAATGTGAAGCGGGGTTTTTCTGTGCTCTTCCTGACTTTCTCATCATGAAGGCAAGGAAGGCGACTCTTGCAAGCATTGCACGCTGTAAAGCTTGCTCTCGCTTTGGGCCTCGGTGGTGGGGAGAAAGACAAGGGGAGACGCAAGTGGCTAAAAATCTTGCCGTGGTGTTTCAGCTTGAGCTTCTTGCCTGCAGTTTGATTGTAACATGCTTTCTCTGGTGATTGCCAGGAACAGAGTATCATGGCGCACATGGGCCTTGACTCAGGAACCACTAACATTTTTGATGAAGTAGACAAGAATGACTTTAAAACTGACTTTGGTTCGGAATTTCCAGTAGGTTTCAAGCTTTGATTCTTTCTTAACTAACCCACCTACTGCCACCCCAACTTGTCTCCGTGCTTCTGTTGCTTGCCCCACGTCTATCCCAGAATGACTCGTGCTTTTGTGATGTAAATGTGACCCTACCATATTCCACCTTGAGGACGGTTGTCATGTCACATTATCATGTGGGTTGTCTTGGTTTGGGTCATCTTCAGTTGGGATTGCTTTGCTGCCTTTGTATATTGTAACACTGGCGGACAAGTTGACTGTCTTGGTTGACTGTCTGTTTCGTTCATTTTGAGATCATTATCCCAGGAGCATGTAAATCCACCTTCACAAGTACAGCCGTGCTCTTTTGCTGAAAGATGGCTCTCATGGTGTTGCACTTATTAGATATTCATTTTTCTACCTAATCTCTGGGTCATTAAAATGGATATTCTCATGAATGTCAGTGCACAGCTCTTCATCAGAACCATACTGCATGGGGTTCAGTCTAAGCCCTTTATGTCTGTCACTCATAGGTCTTGTTGATCAATGACTGTTATGTGTGTGCTTTCGTAGGAAATACAGCCCCTGAATAAGACTTATCTGTACGGCTGCTTATAATCCCCGGTCTCCTAGCAGCATAGATACGTTTCTTGTTGTGTAGAGCTTTCATTTCCCCATCTTCAAAAATAGGGGATGATGCTGCTAGACATTTCCCTGATGTGAATGTGAACTGTGTGGAAAGCAACAACGTTTCCTCGTGTTGCTTGCTTGGTGATTGAAAAGGTGTCAGTGTATGGGTGTCTTAGGTGTTCTGGGTTCTGCTGTGTATCACACTGTTTGATTCTGCTCTCTCTCATTTACAATCTCTAACGTTTGTTTTACATGACTTAGATCTTTTCTCCGATGCCTGGAGACACCTGTGAGAATGCTAACCCTTCCCTGGGCAGAAGAATGTCAGTTAACGGTGACAAGTTGGCGAAGAGGGAAAAACCGAGGGAATTAATCTTTCCATCTAATTATGACCTCCTGCGTCACCTGCAGTATGCAACACATTTTCCTATACCTCTGGTAAGTTCCTGCTCCAGTCATTTTATACCTGGATTACTTTAAGATGATTCACCTTTGAATGCCAGATTGCTCCGACACCTTCCTGACTCATATCTAGTGATACCAGGTAAGCTTTTGCATTTGCTGCTGCTTTTGTTGTATATCTGATCACACGGTGTACATAGCGAGGTAGTTTGAATTTTTGTTGTGGTCTCAGTGGCTGGATAGATTTAACCGAATTTGTTGTATTAGCGTTCTCTTATCAAGAGCGTTTGAGTTACTGTAGATGATGTTCAATGTGTTTTCCTATATCTGTTTGAAAGTCATTGGTACTTTTGGTATTACACAGATGAGTAAGAATTTTTGGGGCAACAGGAAGGATGAATAACCTAGGAGGGGGAACAGTGTATCAAATGACATGCACTGCTATAAATGCAGTGATGACTAAAAATCCATGCACTCATTGGAAGGTGGACAGTGGCCTTCCCGGCCCATCACATGTACAAAATGGAAGCTGTAAGGGGAAGGGGCTGTCTGGTTGCGAAAACAGGTGGATATTTTTGTAGAAAAGGATGTATGCCAGATGGATTTGGACCTGTTGAATTTAGGAACTGGATAACACATGGTGAATGCTTGGCTGGAAATTCAGTTTTGACTAATGGGCTGTAACTGTGCAATGCATTGCTCTTGAGAAGTGACTAAATGAAATGCTTGAGAATTCTGTCTTTGCTACTTTCCTGAAAATCTCAAATTATTCTCCAAAGGAAAAAAGTTCAAGGGGAAGGTAAGTGGAGGAAAAATGAAAAGGTGGTGTAGCTGCTGGTGGGTTTTCCCCTCTGTGTGGGAGAGGTGAGCCCCCCGCACACCTTTCTCTGTGAGCACCAGCTGATTTGTTCTGCTGTTCGCGTGACCTTGACGGGCAGCCGCTCGCTGGAGTTTCTCATTCCAAGGTCCATGCACTTACTTAGAAGAATGCTAGCATGACTTCCAGTAACCAAATCTGTCAGTGACATTACTTGAATGTGTAGCAATGAAACAACCCTTAAAAAACCAATGTTGTAGGATACAATTTTTTTTAATATCCTTCCGGCACCAGTTGCCCAAGAAGTGCCTCTTCCCACGAGGACGATTCAGAAGAAACCATTGGTAGGGGAAATAAACATAGACGCTAACTAACTAACGTTGACGTTGGAATGCTCTTGAGAGTCTAGTCCTATTCTTTACAAAATGGATAACATCTAAGTAGCATCTTGTGCGTGGAAGGACAACATAAGAATATGGTTAAAAATAGTTCTTAACGTTCCCCTGGATCTCATACGTGTGATTCTTGTGAGTGACAACCGAGAGAGAACTGTAAGTTAGAAAAGGGGTTCTATGTTGTGAATGGTATGTATGGTGATGCAAGCATAGTGTCTTGGCTCATGAATTACCTTGGGTTCATAGAATCCTGAAAGGGGCTTAAGCCTGGTGGTAGCCTGACGCTTAGAAAGTTGTTTGTCCCAAGTCACGTATGTGATGTTGCCCACGAGTTCCTGGCGTCACTGCCAACCAGCCAGAATGTGTTCAGCACTGACCATAAGCTCTGTGAGAAGCATTTTGTACATTTTTTCAATTATTTGCTCATTTCAAACTTAGAAAATGTGTTGGTGACGTTGTAAGTAAGAGTTTCCAGTTTTAGAAAAAAGCAGTCTTTAAATGTAGAAATGGCTTCAAATCAAAGTTGCTTCCCTGGCTTCCAGGAACAACGTTTTTTTTTTTTTAAAAAAAAGCTCATGGCTAATGTAAATATATTGGCAACTGTTTGTATACATGCCTTTGGCTAATAAAATTAAACACAAACACACGGACTGCTCCTGCTTACCCAAGTTTTTGCTGTCTTCTCCGTGGTAAATGTTTTATTTTTTGTCTTGTATTGCATCCTTTCCGAGTCCTTTGACCTGGTAGGGATTTGACCTAAGAGCTGTGACCTTGAGAACTGGAGTCAACCATACATTAAGTTAATGGTCTCACATGAGGTCAGCCTCATCTTTCTGGGTCTGCGTGACCATAGCCCACCTTGCCCATGCTGTATTCATATTACACTGTGGCTCTTGACTGGTGTTATTCTTCTGTGTGTTTGATATGAGTTTATTCATGCAAAATGATAGTTTCAGTTACCATAGTTGGATATTCGCTCACTCCCTCAAGCTATGGAACTAGGCACATCATGTCGTTATAACATAAAGAAGAAATCATGAGATTTACTATTAGGTAGAAAGTAACGCCATATGATACAGTTCTTTAATACCTTTCCGCCACTGCTTGCCCTGAATCCCAGAAGTGATTCTCAAGAAACCTGTGGGGAAATGAAAGCTTTTGCTAACATGACTTTGACAATGGCAATGGTCTACTTTAGTCCCTTCCAGGAAAGAAAGGAAAACCTGACAGATCCCTTGTGCGTTAGAGAAGAATGTAAGAACATACTTTAAAAAAAAATCTTCATTGGGCCCGGCGCGGTGGCGCAGTGGTTAAGGTCCTCGCCTTGCACGCCCGGAATCCCATATGGGCGCCAGTTCTAATCCCGGTAGCCCTGCTTCCCATCCAGCTCCCTGCTTGTGGCCCGGGAAAGCAGTCGAGGACAGCCCAAAGCCTTGGGACCCTGCACCCGCGTGGGAGACCCGGAAGAGGCTCCTGGCTTCTGATTGGCTCAGCTCCAGCAGTCGCAGCCGCTCAGGGAGTGAATCATTGGATGGAAGATCTTCCTCTCTGTATATCTGCCTTTCCAATAAAAATAAAATAAATCTTTCAAAAAATCTTTATTAATAACCTGCAAGTAGAATATAAGCATATATAATGATAGTTTGGAAAATTTATGGAAAATCGTAATTAAAAGACAACAATTTTGGTGCAAATTTTTTCAAATCCAGGCATGATTTTTCATAATGCATACTTTCCATGAACTTTTGATTAAAAAAAAAAAAAAAAGAAACCACAATTTATTTGAAAGGCAGAGCAACGGAGAGAGGGAGAAGGAGAGAAATCGCCCACATGCTGGCTCATACTCCCAGTGTCTGGGAAGGCAGGATACAGGAACTGTACCCTGCTCTCCCTGATGGGTGAGAGGAGCCCAAGCCTTGGCCGTTTTTCCGCTTCCTTCCCAGGCCCCCCAGCAAGGAGCTGGATTGGAAGTGGAGCAGCCAGTATGCGAATCCGCACTCCAATAGGGAATGCTGGCCTTGCTAGTGGTGGTTTAGCGTGTTATTCCACAATACCAGCTCCTTTCCTGAACTGAGGAATATATTAAATATACATATATTAAAAATTGACCATAGATTTCCAGACCTCTGTATAAATAAATGTTTTATTATGTTATTAAATATTAAAAATTGGAGATGTCTTAAATGATTTAAAAATGGATGAGACATAGGTAGCTTCATTCATCTGGCTTTTTTTTTTTTTAATTTAAGTGATATAAAGACCTTTAAAGTTATGTTGCTCAAGGATTTGCTTGTTACCTACATGGAGATTATTTTGCATTTTTTGCGATCAACATCGTTTCTAGACATTTACATGAATACATCATAAATACTGCTGAGTCTATATCATACACCTGTATTGGGTTTCAAGGTTCTCGCCGAGTTGGGAGTTGGACGTTGATCCTGTGAGACTCCAGGGGTTTGTAGCAGTATGAGGGCTAAGTTGTATCAGTCACTGTCAGTAGAGTACTAGCTTAGCTTGCATTTCTGCATTTACCGGTCAGTCTACATTTGCTAGTTGTCTGCGTTTTATTTCTTATTGAGGTTCATTCTTTCAACAACTGCATTTAACTGTGGACCAGGACGGTTGGAAGTGGCAGTCCGTGAACTCCAGCCGCTCATACTCCGTCACCACAGCCGGCTTTGTCTTCAGGACACAAGTTCTTGGTCTCCTTCAGGGAGGTGAAAGTCGCGGTGACTTTCAAGCGGAATGCTTTTGAGAGATGATAGTACAGGATGGGATCAAAGCACAGGTTTGACACAGCCAGGAGCAGGGTGGCCTCTTTTGCTTTGAAGAGAGAGATCCTGGTTGTACAGTCTGATATAAATTCTGTCTGGCTGAGGGTATAGGGGATTCGGACAATGTGGTAAGGAACAAAGCAGGTGATGTACCCTGCAGTCACCAACAGTATGTTAATGAGAGCTCTTTTCACCTGTGGGTAATTTTCATTATCTTTGTTTCGGTAGAGTTGTTGAACTACAAGACAGTTAGAGATCAAAATGATGGTTGAGAAATTCAAAAATATTGCTACACATAGGAAGTTGGTGAGCACATGCCAGTTTCTTCCAAACTCCTGTTTAAAATCCATACAACCCACTTGGGACCTTTCCTTGATGTCCTTGATGGGGATGAGCATGTTTGGCACCATAATAAGAAGGACCATAAGCCACACCACGGCCGATATCATTTTGGCAAATCCAGGTTCTTGTATTCGGTAGATCCTGGAGCTGTGTATTAACTGAAGACAGCGATCCATGCTGACGAAGGCTAGGAAGATAATGGACAGGTACATGTTGATGTAGATGAGGCAGGCTGTTACCTGGCAGTGGAATATCCTCAGCTTCCAGGGGGCCACGCCCAGGTCGACCACTATCTTCACTGGTAATGCCAGCGTGAGCAGGAAATCGGCCGTCAGCAAGTTAATCAAGTAGATGCTCACACACCTGTGGTTTGTTTTTTTCTGCATGAAAGCCCAGGCTGCAAAGCAACTCCCAATAATCCCAACAAGGAAAACCAAATAAAAAAAGTACGTGAATGGCTCCTGATCTCTGTAAACTGGGCAGAAGTATGAACTGTTACTCATCTTGTGGAATCCTCGGGACGACTCTCCAGGAGAAAGCCCAAAGAATCTGGAAGACAGAAAAGAGGGGTGGGCAGTGGGGAGGAGACATTAGCAATTAAAACCACAAAGTCTTTTCTCCATAAAAGCATTTGCATTCCAAGTAACATTGCCTTTCTGCTTCTTGGGTAAAATTTGGTTGGTGAATTTTTCCAACTGTGACCTT